AATCAGCATTGGTATCTGAGTCTGTGGTTGATGTTTTTTTCACTATGCTACTGTGGTCTATGATTTAATTTGGGTAAATGAGCTCACCAGTGAATCTAGTACAACTCAAGTCCTGCTTTTTTCTTTAAAAGCAGAATTCTCAACACTGACTTCACATTGGCATTACCTAGCATACTTCCAAAAAAAAAAAAAAAAAACACTGATGTTTTGGCCCTCTGTTCGACAATTTAAATCAGAATTTCAGCGAGTTGGGCCTTGACATCCCTATGCTTTAGAAACTCTCCAGCTACTTGTATTGTTCATCCGGAGTTGAGAACATTAAGTGAACTCCTTCCCTTGCTATTTTTGCATACCCTGGTGTCCTTCCTGGAATGCCTTCAGTACCTTTTGTCTGTACCAAAGAATTTCACAATTTCTTTATTTGCTATATAGTTTTGAAAGTATTTCACATGTAAAATTTCCAGTCCCTTGTGGACCGGTATTCTTTATTTGTTTTTGTATTTCACATAGACTCAAACACAGTACTAGATATAAAGTAAGAATGAATAGACTTGGCTTGTCTTGACTCAGAATATTTTATTCTGTCATAACTTTATCTTGCTTTGCTTTGTTTTGTTTTGTTCTACACTCCATTCACTTCCTGGGCTTGTAGCCCTTCAGTTAGGCGATTCTGGATTTGTTTGGTTTTTCAGGAAACAGTGACATTCGAGGATGTGACTATAGAATTCACCAAGGTTCAACTGGATTCTGAACAGGAGGGTTTACACTGGGATATGATGATGGAGAGTTACAGAAATCTGATCTCATTGGTCAAAAATTCCTTTCCCCTTTGAAATGTCTTTGCCTCTTTTTGACTGTTAATAGTGTTGACACATCACAAGAATTTAATTGACTTCTCTCTGATGTGGGGTCAGAATAATCAGATATTTCTAAAGCACATTTTAAGCCAAGAGACTAGGTGTTTCAGCTTTCCATTCCCCAGATCTGCTGGTTTGAAGTACGGCTAGAAACTAGCCAGTATGTTAACTTTCCTCTTTACCCTAGATCAGAAACCCCCTTTGAAGTACTCCTCACTGTCAAGATGTAGTAGGAAACATACTAGAGCTTAATGGTCCAGAGCTTAGGTTTGGGAGTTCATTCATCATGAAATCCACCAGTGTGTTACCCTGGGCATGTCACTCAACCTTTCCAAGTCCAAGTTTTATCTAAGACAAAAGAGCACATTATTTGGCTACTTCTTATTCTCCTAGCAAAGAAAAAATACATTACATCATAATATTTCTGATCACCTGTGTCTACCCTTTTTCCCAGCTAGTGCGATCTCTGTCTAGGGACATATTAATGTCATTTTGCACTACCATCCAGACCTTTCCATGTACCATATATTCCAAAATACTCAAGTTTATGCCGAAGACCCTAAGTGGATTTTTTTACTTTGAAGTCTCCAAGATCTTATTTTACTCAACCAACATTTTAAATCTTAATGTTTCACTCCTTTTCTTCCTGAAGAAGAAATTCTGTCTCAAGACTGTGACATAGAAATCCTGCCTGAGTTTCCAGCTTGCTGGCCCGCTCTACACATAAGCCAATTGGATAGGTAAGCTCTACACATAAGCCAGTTAGATAGATAAGTGATATAGATAGATAGATGATAGATAGATAGATAGATGATAAATAGATAGATGATAATAGATAGATGATAGATGATTAGATGATAGATAAATACAGAAGGGGGGAGATCTCTATTGAGAGGGACTGAGGTAGAGAGATGAGAGAGAAGGAGATTTATCATATATGTTCTGCTTCTCTGGAAGAACCATGACCCAAACAACCACTGACATTTTTTAGTGTCTTGTTACACAGCAATAGCTAAATGTAGGGACAAGGCTAGAAGTTGTCTAACAGACCTAATTACATCCAAGTTAATCCTTTTAGGCAGAATATCATGTGCTGTGTACCTTCTGTGACTTCATCAGGAAGCACATGTTAATTTGTCCCGTTGTTGATGTTAAATTTGATCCCTAGTTTCAGTGGAGACATAAGTCTCTTCTTTGTAAAGATTTGATTTTCTCTTTGCAATTAGCAAGATAGCTCTGCGCTCCTACTTTGGTAAATGAGAACATCCAATTTCCCGGGAAGTACACTTCTACCTGATAATTTGAGGATGCGTTGATGAGCCTCTAGGTTTTCCCTTCTTCGTTGTTCTTCCTGGTATCTTTCCCATTTAATGTCTTCATCTATACAGAATCCTTACAGGGCCTGTTCTATCACCTGAAGGGTCAGCAAAAACTCTTTTTGAACTGAAAATAAATTCTGTCCGGATGTCCTTTTTTGGATTATATTCACACTTATTCGGGTAAACAGCAGTCCCGCGCCCTGCTCCCCACCCAATCAACATTCCGAAGTTCCTCTCTAAGCATAATATCCATATTATCAAAACTTGTTTTGAAAACAAGCATAGGAACAACAAAAATCATGCGGGGACAGTTCTTCAATATATATACCCAACGAAAGCGTCACTCATAAAGTATCACACAGTGTAGACTGGAAAAATTAAATGATCAGGTCTGACAAGGCAGCGCTCCCCGCCCCCGTCTCTGTGGCGCAATCGGTTAGCGCGTTCGGCTGTTAACCGAAAGGTTGGTGGTTCGAGCCCACCCAGGGACGGCCCTTTCCATTTAAGGACAGCGCGTAGAGCTTGCGTTTTCCTCCCGAAACGTTGTATGACAATATTGTTTCTGACCATTCTCACAAATTAAATGAAAATCGAGCTAACAGGCTTAGCCAGATCGTCTTTGGGATAGGGGTAATATTCTCTTGTTCAGCGATTAAAAGCTTAGCGAATGCGTTCAATACCCTGAGTCAGATCCTCGGGTAGGGCCTTGGACATCCCCAAGACACTGCGAACGAAGAGTGCTGGAGGCTTCTGTCTGGGATATCTGGTTTCCAGTGACGGGTATTTTTCTAAATCATCTGTTTCCTCGCTTATAAGAGGAATCATAAAAATGGTCGCTTACACTTTTCATAAAAGGCATTTTGACATTATCTACCCAAATTACTCAGCGAGTTTACTTCTGGAAGTATATACGATTACTATATTTGTACAACTAAAATTGACCCATGTCAGGGTCATTCACGGCAACATTTAAAAAAGAGAAAATTTAAGTGTAAAAAAGATGTTCTCCTGCCCTCAAAGGGCTTAGTCTCCAGGGAATCAAACTGACAGTTCTTGGGAAATTCATTTTCTTCCACCCATTCTTATTTTCATTTCTCACTCCACCTGTGATTTACCCAGTTCACCAGGCTCTGGGTGTGAGCTCTTTGTGCAGAACTACTGAACTGGAGCCTGAGATGCTGACCTTGAATATACTGGTATCTTTATTTCATTCAAAAAATTAAGCCCTATGTGTTTTATTTTGTAAGTTGTTAGCGACCTAAGGGGAAGAATTTTCTTGATCTTGATATTCTCTTTATCTAGCAAAGGGGGCAATGGGCACTTAGAATTCTGATTAAATGAACAGCTTATCAAATTCTGACACTGGATTTCTCTGGCTCACTTGTAAGACACCATGACCTGAGGGAACAATCCACATGAAACAAACTCACAAGAAATGAACACAGAAACCAGGGTATCAAGTTCCTAAGACTGAGGGTGTAACATTACACACGTCTCTGTTGATGGGTATGAGAAGTATAGGCATTGTGGGAAATGTTACACCAAGTAACCATTATTTTTTACTGTATGGTCGTCTTCATTCTCCCAAATAAAGTTCACCTACCAAATTAAAATCTTAACATGACTAGGATTTTGTTTTAGAGCCAAAGAAGTGGATGAATCCACTTCACCCAAAGAACAAATGAGTAATTATATTGAGGACAGTGGGTAAAAAAAAAAAATAGTACAAGCAAAACCCAAATTATTATAATCACTCTACTACTTCCTTTAAGTTTAATGAACTAGATACTGGCCAGTTTTTTTAAGACTTTGAGAACATGAGCAGGGGGAGAGGCAGAGGGAGAAGCAGACTCCCCGCTGAGCAAGGAGCCTGATGTGGGGCTCAATCCCAGGACCCTGGGATCATGACCTGTGCCAAAGGCAGAGGTTAACCAACTCAGCCACCCAAGTGTCCCTTTTCTAACATTTTTTAAGTCATCTCTACACCCAGCATGGGGCTCAAGCTCACAGCCCCAAGACCAAGAGTTGTATGTTCCAACTGAGCCAGCCCCGTGCCCTGACCAGCTTTAATTTATATATTTATTTATTTTGTAATTTAGTTTAGTTTACTGTGACATCAGTTTTTGTTTCTCTTAGGGGCTTACCTAGATTCTTTGTGGCCTCCAGGGCTGCTCTGCACGTCGCTTATGAACCGTCCCTCACCTAAGCCCTGATTCACAGAAGTGCACCTTTGTGCCTGGCTACCTCCCAGGCTTTGTCCACCTTTACAGTGGTTTGAACCCAACACGACATCCACAGAGCTTTGTTTCCAAAAACAGGACTACACCAGGCTCAGTCAGACTTCTGGTCACTTTTCAGGACTGATCTGGAGAACCTGGTGAGAACTGCCCCATCTCTGGAGAGTGTGATCTGGAGTCAGCTCTGTATTAAGCACTGCTTCCCTTCCCAGACAGAGTCCACCATGCCCTCCCGTGGCCCCTACTCTACCCCTTATATACATGTACCAGGATGCCTGCAATACCTCTGTACGTTTACTTCTTAAATGTCTCTTTCTAGTGGTAACTCTTAGCACCAAGGGCCATGTGTTATTACCTACTATCCCTATGTCCTCATATAGCGACTTAGTAAATGCTGAACTAGATAACTGATAAAATGGGCTAAGAAATTAATTTGATAGATAGAAAAGGGTCCAGGCTGAACTAGGGGTGTGGGGGAGGAATGGTGGCTCTGAGACCAGGAGATGAAGGGGAATGAACAGGACATGAGAAGACAGAAGTCAGAACTCATAAAATGCCCCCTCTCCCCAAAAAACTACAAAGGCATATAAATATATAAATTTTTTCTTTTCTATACATACATTTGGAAGGTGGCTCCCAACCCAGTCCCATCCCACTAACCCCTGGCCCTGTTAATCTTTTCTAAATAAAACAGATGTTGCTGCTGCCCTTCAACTACAGTTGGTAGAAATAGCTGCCTGGACTTGACACTATCACTCTAGCTCGAAGTAAAGGCTCTTCCTGGGTCCAGAAAGTGGGATTTTCAGAGGATCTCACTGGAGAGGAGGCGGACAGCCACGGATCAAACACAATTGGCATCTTGCAGTAGTCCCACTCTTGCTAGTATGAATTAGGTGCCTCAGCCAGGCAACAGGAGTTGGAGGGGGGGGGAACCAGAGGAACACAAGACGTCAATGTCTAAGCACCCACCAGACTGCTGGTCTTAGAAAGATAATATAATCATTATCAGTAGTCATTATCAGGTAGACAGGAAGCAGGGCTAAGACATGAAAGGGGGCTGTCCACCCTTCAAGAGTCCCTGACTGGTCAGGGTTCCTCCACGCTCGCTGAAGGTGGTGGAGCTCCAAAGATCTTGGCAAGCAGCCCTTGGTTGGAGCGAGCCTGGTCCTGGGCATTTGCCAGGCGAGCCCGTTCACGTCCCCCTGGCCGAGCCGCCTTCCGGGCTCTCAGCTCTTGCTCAGTAGGACGCTGGGCAAAGGTCCAGGTGCCATTCGGGCGGGCAGAGTCCCCCTCAGCGGCAAGGAAGCGCCGTCCCCGTTCCACACTTCGAAGATAGAAGTCAGTCTCACGCTTGGCCTGGGCAACCTCGGCCCTCAGGCGCTGCCTGCGCACCTGGCGCTCAAAGGCAAGATGTTCGCTGAGGTGGGACCACGTGAAACGGTGCAAGTACTGTGGGCAGGAAAACAAGAGAAGATCTGGGTAGGGTACGTCAGGGACGGAGAGGAGATGAGAGAGTGGGGCCAACAAAAGGGAATGAGGCGCTGGGCTGGGGCTGGGAAGGCGGGAGGATGAGACGAGGCCGGCAAGCCTAGCCCTCACCTTGAGGTTCCACAGGTCGTAACGGAAGGGGCTGCGCCGTCGGGCTCCCATGGGCGTGTTGTGAAGACTGGCCGCCACGCGCTTGGCTACTCGCTTGTCCCGGAACTCCACCCAGCCCTCGGTGTAGTCCTTGCTGTACTTGGACCGCTTTTTGCCTCCCGCGGCCGAGGCTGCCGCTGCTTTCTTCTTGCGCCTCACGAAGCCGTCTGAGCCCAAGACACAGCAGTGGTTTAGGAGGCCCACGTGGCAGCCAACTAACTTCACCTCCCACTCGCCCGCGGGCCAGGATCCCCCTCAAGGCCTCTGCGGGGAAGAGAACCGCAAGGTCCATCCTCTCCCCGTACACCCTCTCCCCACGTCTAACTCAGTCCTCTCCTGAGCCGTCAACTCCTGCATCAGATGTGCTCTGCACATGCACACGCCCCGAATCCCAACTCAGTTAGCGCCTGTAGGAAAGCTGGGGTCAGCGGATCAGACACTGTCTCTAGACCTGGGTCACGAGGACGAAGGGGATGGGTCCAGTTCCGTGCAAGAGCCTCTGAGACTCTTATGCAGGGCGCGCTCACTTAACGAGCCGGTAGATTCGGTTCAGGAACGGGGCGTGTGCGGAGGGAACGCTACAGGCCAAACGTGACCACCCGAGAACCACTCGTCTGCGCTCCCTGAGCGACCCACACCCAACCCCGCCCCCCCAAAGGAGCCGGGCGCCGGCCTCGAGTCCCCGCCCCCACAGCGCCTCGGACCCGCGCAGGCGAGCCCGCGGCCGGCGAGCGCCACCCCCCGCCCGCACGGCCCGGGCCCGCGCTCTTACCCTCGGGCTGGAAAAAAACGCGCCCGACCTCGCCGTACGCGCTGAGAAGGTTCCGTACGTGCAGAGGCCGAAAGCGGGGCGGGAGGTGGCCCAAGTACACAATACCCGGCACCACCCGCTTCTTGGCGCCACAAGCCGCCTCTTCGGATTCCTCCCGCTCCTCCGCCGCCTCTGGGCTCTGATCTGTCCCTTCCCGAGGCTCCCGCTCCGAGGCCTCGCTCTCCAGCTCCTCCGCCTCCATGCCGGCGGAGCGAGAAGCACGGCAGCCGTAAAGCGCCGCGCCGTCTGCCGCACAGCGCGTGCGACGGCCGGCGGGAGGGGCGGGGCCGACGGGGCGGAGATGAACGGCAGGACCAGACTGGGTGCCGAGAGCGGAAGTGGGATTCGAAGCGGGAAGGCGGGACCTGAGGCTCGCGGTGGCCGAACTGGCGGCGCTCGGGGCTGCCGCGGCCGGCGCCGAGCGGGTAGGTCCGCAGGTGGACGCGCCCTAGAGAGCGCCTCGGCGAGATGGGAGAACGCGGGAGGCGGGCTCTTCTGGAAATGTGGGAAAGCTCTGGGGAGTTGGGAGATCGAAGCGGCATTTGACCCAGGGGACCCGGGTGCGACTCCGGCTGGGGCATGATTCGCCTTTACGGTTGACTCAGACTTCTTGAGTTTTGAAACGTGAATTATTTTTCAAAACTTAACTTCGAGTTCTGAATGTTTCTACGTTTTGAAAATGTAGGTTAATTTGGCAAATACAAGTTTTGGAAACTTAGATTTTGAATACTTCAGTTGTGACCTCATTTAGTTTAAAACCTTTTGTGTACTTTAAAATATTAATTTGCAATTCGGTTTTGTGAACAATGTCCAGGAAATTTTAACGGGCAACAGTTATTTCTCCTGTTTTCAAAACGTTATTCGCGTTGGTTGACACGTGATGCATGCTGATATTATAAACACCTGTTGTCCTGTGTACACACGGCCCGGACTGCGGCGACCCCGGGGCGGCGCGCCAACCCTGCTCTCCCGGGACCGGCGTC